AATTGTTTAATTGACACCTACATAGAATATATTCCCTTACAACTCATATTTAGTTAATACCCGCCAATTAATTCTCTTTATTTTATTTTTAATTTTTTATCATATATTTTTCATCCAGATAGAATACCTGTATTATTATATTTTCAAAAAAATCTAAAACCTTAATTTTTTCTATTACTTTTATTTTATAATTACATTTCCTTGATAAATAATTATGTTTTGTTAAATTAATTAACAATAATTTTTTTATTCTTAGATTGGGAACCATAATAGCTTATTGAATAAGAAAGGTTTTTATTGGAATCTGATGAATCAGCAAACATCCGACAAAGCAAATGCTGCATAAATTGTTAGAAATAGAAAAGTGAAACTGTAAAGAGACATTGTTTAAGTAGGTAATATTGTTAATTATTTATGGTTCTAAATATCTTAGTAAATTTAGTTTAAAATAATTGTGTTTAAATGAGTTATATTTAGTTATATTTTATTTTATATTTGTTATATATCATTGGTTGTATAATAATGCAATATGTTCTTTAATATCATAATTAATAAAAATTATATTTACTGTAATTAAAATAACATGGAACATCATTAATCATAAATTATTTAAGATATTATTAGTATAAATTATACTACTATTTTTGATTTTGATTCTGCAATTTTGTCTTATCTCATTATATAACCTTCCAAATTATAAAGTTAAGTCGCGAACACCGCTCACTATTCTGTAACACTTTTAATATTGTATTTTTGTATTTAGTAATAGTGAAATAAACGAATGGTTTTTATAAATACATCAGGTATTCATTCTCACATTGATATATTTATTTCCATATTGGTTACAGTTGAGACGTAACAGACATTTGGAAACATTGGTTTCAATATTTATGCTGCTGCAGGATGGGCTCCCTTATATCCTTAAGCAATCATAGGAAAATAACAGTACCTTTCATTATTCTACAAGTAGCACCTATCCTCACATCAGTTGATCGGTAGTGCCACCATCTAGATTCTAGAGGATTAAAATAACTGTTAATTGTTGACTAAATAATTATAGTGGAGGTAGTTCTAAAAACACGGCACCCGTCAAATTTTTACTTAGCGCCAATATACATGTACTATACTTTTTTTATTGGTCTTTAGCGATTAAACAATTGTAACTGACAACCATAAGTCCATAACCATTAACATTAATTGGTTTGTGTTTTGGTGGTTTAGGTATATATGGGGTAAGGAATCGTCTTTAAAAAAMCGGGCGGTCATAAAACCACCTATATATATTTTATTAATGGAGTTACACTATTAATTTCTATCTTTGGTAGATCATTGTGAAATTCATCGTAATGATGTTTTGTAGAAAGGCAATAATTAGGTTATCCCTATAATTCTAAGATTATAAACTTTAAGGTATAATATTATTTGGTAAATATTTTGTTTATTTTTTAAATTCATTTAGTTTTGTAACTAAATTAATGTGATTATTGTGTGTCATAACTGATTAAATTTTTCTTACTCGTTACTCGCTAAGTAGGAACTATTATTGTTATGAGTCCGTTTAGTCAACAAACCATTACCAATTAATGGGTATGACTTTTTCTATCATAGTCCAAATAGACCTATCTTCAATAAAATATTGACTCGGCAGGGTTCAATAACTACAAAAATCAATCAACTTACATTTTCAAATTCATATTTTATTCTATTAACAGCAGGTT